GATGAAGTTGTTTCATATGTGGTTATGAAATTGTTTCATAAACTACTTAATGAAATTTTAATGAAACTGTTTCATGTATTTCTCTAAAATCAAAATAATGAAGATGATAATATTCATGATTAACACCCTCCACAATAAAAATCGTTAATCAACCTCTCATAATTACAAAAAAATGAACAAAATGAAAAATTATGATTGGTTAAATGAAGTTTTCACGGTTTTTACAAATTAAGTGGTTTTTATTTGAACTCACCCCTATATATATATATATATTTGTAATTGGATTTTTGAAAGTTGCAATCTTTACAAACGTATCTGTTTGTTTTATTATAGGTTGTTTATTTATCTTTTAATAGTTTTATTAACATGAATTTTGTTTGGTAGAAACAAAGGTCTCTCGAATGATTTTGTATCTTGGATCTCTCTTAACCATTCAGCATCATAATTTCATTCTCAATAATTATCAAATAATTATATTTCATTTTGTACTATATTATAAGAGTTTTTTAATTATTATAATCACTTAATCATTTTGCACCAAATCATTCAATAATTGCCAAAAAATCTATAACTAACAAACAATTAGTTAACTTTGTTGTGTTTTAATGACGATTACTTAAAAAGAGTTGGGTTCACGTGAGACCAAGAGTTTGAGACCAAGAGTTTTCCATGAGACCCGTCAGACCAATTTATGTTCAGTGATCAACTTTATAAACTAAAGATCTAATGGTCTAAAGTTGCAAGGTCACAATTTTGTAATTATTGAGAAGTCTTGTAGCGTTTATGAATTATTAGATCTGACGATTGTAAATCTAATCCAAGGGTTGAGAATTGGTCTTACGGGTCTCACGAAAAACCATTGGTCTCACATGATCCCAAGTCTACTTAGGATCAGGAAGTCAAGAAAAAAGAGATGTTAATGAATCAAAGGTCCAACTGATCGCCGTGTCTAAAGAATCAAGCTACAAGTCTCGATCTATACGAAAGGCACTGGTTTCACCTTACCGCACTTTCCCCTTGCCTAAGTTGAGACTTCAGCCTCTGCGCCTCTCTCTCTCTCTCTCTCTCTCTCTCTCTCTCTCTTTCTCTCTCTCTCGCGCGCCTTCACTTTAGTCTTCAGCCGCAGCTTCACTGGCAACGCACCTTCGCCTCTTCGGCCATCGCTTCAGCCGCATCTCCACATATTCACGGTAAGTTCTATATCGTATCCCTAAATTAACAGAACTGTTAATTTAACATCGTAACTTGTATGCTATTAGCCCTAAATAAATAGAAGTGTAAGTAACGTAAGTTTTACAGGTGATTGCTCATAATCGACACAGCTCAAACTGGATTAATGTGTGTGTTTTGTGTTAGAGAGTGGACTATTGTGATTTATTGCTAAATCCGTACGCTCTTACCAAAGACTATTGTCCAGTTGCAATTTTGTTGTTTTGTTACACTCTTTTGCAGGTTGTACTTTTGAATTCAAACTTCATACAAATGGAAAATCAAAACTTTCACCTTTAATCACATTTCTTATTTTGTTTGAATAGTTTTGGATGAATTGGAAATTGTGAGTCAAGATGTAATAGAAGGCAGAAGCCATAAAGTCTTTAGTCTTTCTTATTCATTTTCTTCTTATAAAAAGCGGATAATCATGTATAATAATCATTTTAGCTAAGTTTTCCCTACAAAGTTCAGCATCAAATGAATATTTACTCATTTTCCCCTTTCCGTCTGAAGCCTTTTGGTCCTGAACTAGGATATGTTGTCTAGTATCCTTTGTAACTCTTCTTGGGCAATTCTTAAAATGGTCCTTCAAATGTGTAGTTCCGTCGTTGGCTCTACCCGTCAGTTGTTTATTGCAATAATTACATCTTGCATATCGTCTAACACCATCAACATACACTTGTTCACAATGATTCCAAACAACCGACTTTAATGTTTTTTGTGGTTGTTTAGTGCTCGTGTTAGTGTTAGTCCCTACAGGCATGCTTACGGATTCGTAAGTATCATCACCAATTGTTACTTTAACTTGTTCCTTGTTTCCTTCCATCTCATTCTCATCACCATGTATGTTCTCGTTTTCCGAAGGTTCCATCTAAAATTAATGAGAATATATAATAAACTTATAAAGTACAAACTTAAAAGCATCAAAAATTAATGAAAGATACTCGTATGTATGTATACCTAAAATACTGTAAATTAAAAAGTATTATTGTGAATCTGTGATTGAAGCCTTGCCAACAACTATAAGTCATTCGACATATGAAAGATCAAATAAAAATAAATTAATTGTGGTTGTGAATATGTGATTGAAGCCTTGCCAACAACCAGATATGGAATTAATAGTTTCAAAATAAATTCTTTACTCCAGCTTTATGTCTATTAGAAACCTAATGACAAATTGACACATAATTATCACGA